CCGCTTCTGGCGCTTGGACAATGGTGGCCTGGGATATCAAACTTCACATATGGTCATTTAGTTTCTCTCGGCCAAGATACCGTTGACCAACTTCACAGGTCAAGCGGTTGACAATCGTCTTCATAAAGTAATCACCTTAAATAAGAATGTGGGCGGCTCACAGAAAGTGTTAAGCCACCACTGCAATTTGAATTGGACCCAGATACTCCACATAGCAGCATTCTTTTGGAAGTCAGCTGTTTGTGGAACTGGCGTCATGAGAGTGAATCGGGAAAGCACCAGGTATCTGCTGGTTACAAAGGCTAAGGACACACAGCAAGCAAGAAACTGGAGAAGGATGTAGTTACGCCCGCCTTGGCATGTTATACCTTCATCAGTTCCGGGCCTTGGCCGCAATGCAGCAAGCTCGACAAAATCACAAATCGTTGAGCATTATAAAAACCTTAGGCTGCAGCCGACCAGTATCATTTCTTGACTGCGCTGGAGCCTCGGGTCGACAGCAGCAGTATGTGAACAAGGCGAACAAAGCTGCCGCTTGCTTTTCAGCCTCTGCATGTGGTTCATGTAGTGGAGCCGCTCGCTGCCCCCTTACAAGAATTTTAATTCAATTGCAAATCTCAACAGCTATATGTCCAAGCCTGAATCGGAAGTACCACTGCTTCCGCGAAATTCTTTTCCAGTTGGGAAGCTCCAGCCCCACTGGAAATGAAGTCGTGCTGCGACACCGCCTCGCAATCTTCCACGCAAGGGCATCACCTGCAGGCTACCATGTGCATCTACGGTATCGACATGAGACACCTGTGGCATGTGAGCGTACTACCTTGTATTTCACAAGCGAGTCACACCACAATGGGCAAGAAATCAGCTTCACATTTGACTCCTTGACTTTGCACCCACCAGTGGCAACTTGCTTCAATCCAAATCCAGAATTGCGCCCTTGGCAGGTATCATTGCAAACTCACGCAAATTCAAACCAATTCCGCTGTTTTCCGGCCAAGGCACATTGAATGGTTTCATAGCAACCGGCATGGCATACGTGAGTAAGACGACGGATGATTCCCTGCATAAAGTAGTCGCCTTGTTCACTCGCAGTGGGCAAATCAACTATGCTTTAGATATTGCACACTGAAAAGGCAAGGCAAGGAGCAGTTGGAGCGTGTTGCCAAATCTGCTTGGTCGCAACAGCGCCCGATGATAGACGCCATGAAACAATCGCCTTGTATAAAAAATCTGTGTTGACATGCGCTAGGTTGGTGCTAGGATGTGATCACCAAGTGCTTCAAGACACACCATCCTCCATCATATTCTTCCAGGTATCCCCGAGATACAAAAGGCCAAAGCAATCCTGCGCAAGCCATTCTGCAGCTTCACATCTTTTATTCCTCGAAACCATGTAAACTTCTCCTGGCTTCGACCACCCAGAATCAGTGTCAGTGAAAGGGCCTGTCGCAACAAAATCGGGTTGGCAAATTCGTTCCTTTTCATTGATAATGCGAAATCAAAGGCCTGAAGGCATAGCAAAATCATCAGACCACTTACAACCTGTGCAACATGTTTGTGCTTCAGTGCAGTACAAAAAGTTAGAACAATTTTAAACTAAATGCCAATTCTGTCGGCGCACACCATACTCCATTATATTCGTCCAGATCCAGGCGAAACAGAGAAGGCAAGAGCAGTCCTAGGCAAGAATCAATGTACAGCATCACCCGTATAGTTTAAATGCGTTGCACTTCGCCTTGCCGCAGCCAATCGCAATCAACATCAGTGAAAGGGCCTGCCACAGCAAAGTGAAAGTCAACTTGTTAGATATGCTCCGTCGCTTGATACATGGCAAAACCCCAGGCCGGGCCTGAAAGCGAACCAAAATCATCGGACCTCTTACAACCTGTCCAGTGTCCAGCCGATGCACTTACAGTGGCAGATTTCAGACCTATCGGGTGAAGATCACTGCTAACAAGAAGCACTGACAGCTGAACCAGTTCACGAAGAAGCGGCCAAGAGCAATTTCGCCCGAACTGTGAGCGCGTTCACCAATAGGGTCAAAGATTGAGGCCACACCTTAGGAGGATGCGCAAAGAGCAAGGCAATTTTGTATGTCATACATACTTAAAAAGATATTTTTAGCCAAGTCTCTCGTCTTGCATGATGAACCGTTCAAACACCCTTCCGCCATGGGCCCCACGCGATGCAAAACGAGCAAATGACCAGATCGAGCGGGCAAACGAGCCAGAATGCGCTGCACGAGACATATTAATAGTTAAGTTCAACCCGTGCGCTTTAATTACAGTGTCACTAAGGCCCTGCTCGAATCAGCCTTCACTGCTTACATATTTGCATGCTGTTTAAAGTCCAGCATTTACATCATCAGTGTTCCGGAGTTTGGCGATTGCATACTTCTAGAATCCAATGATTTTCGACTTGCATCTCATATAGATGAAATAGAGCCATCGCCTGACCCAATTGTCCACCGCGCCCGTCTAGCCATGTGCGCTTCTTTTTCTACGTGACAGAGTTATGGTTTAGCAGCTCCTCATCATACCTGGCGCTCCACTACCCGATTGCTCCGCCCCCACGCACTCCGTTGCCCACACTCTCCGCTCACCACACCTCCGCTCCCCACATGCTCCGCTCCCCACATGCTCCGCTCCCCACACGCTCCGCTCCCACGCGCTCCGCTCCCACGCGCTCCGCTCCCACGCGCTCCGCTCCCCACGCGCTCCGCTCCCCACACGCTCCCTTGCATCCTGGCTCCTTAGGCGTGGGCATTCTCTCTACCTTAACTCCGTTTGCAGCGTGCTAGCTCCGCTTTACCAAACTCACTTGCTCTGGTGAACATATAATTTCTATCTGAATAATTCTTAACCAATGAAGTCAAGGCTAGCTGCTCTAATTCTCCTACTGGCTCAGACTCTACAAAGTATGGCACTGGCGGCCAAACAAACGCTCCATGTCATCCAACTTGAGCCAAGTAAGGGACATAGCTGAAAAACACTTATAGTAAACATTGAAAAGGCAAAGTTACATTATCCCTTTGAAGAACCTTACAATCTATTTTGTTGGCTCCGAAAGACGCTGCATAGTGGGTAGTAAATCCGCCGTAGTAGTACTTTCATATTCACCACTGGACCTATCATCACAAGGAGAACTTATCTTCACAGCCTCAACCTTTGACTGTAGTAGCTTAATGTGAAAAATACCGAATCCAAATCCAAAGTGTGCATTGGCGCGGTTGATACCTCTAAGGAAGATCTTTACTGAGGACTGACAAAAAAAAGCCATGGCATCCCTTTAGACGGATAACGTAAGTAAAAAACAGTGTTTGGACTTATCACTTTCATTTCCAGTGCTCCTCCAGAATGTCAGCTCGTGCAAAGAACATCACACTGCCACTCCAGGCGATGCGATAGCAAGCAAATCCAACATTACAATGTCACACTGAGCACAGCTAACAAAATAGGCTTAAAAAAAACATCACCCTGTCACACCGGGCGGCGCGAGCAAGCAAAAAAGAGAACACACATCACCCTGTCACACCGGGCGGCGCGCAAAGATGCAAAGCTATGCAAAAGCAAGATCACCCTGTCACACCGGGCGGCGCGAGCAAGCAAAAACAAAACAAACATCACCCTGTCACACCGGGCGGCGCGAGCAAGCGAAAACAAAACAAACATCACCCTGTCACACCGGGCGGCGCGCAAAGATGCAAAGCTATGCAAAAGCAAGATC